GTTGGTTTTAGCGAGGAAACTTACGAGCTCAGCTGAGAGAACCCCTGACCAGTCGTGCCTTCCATACAAGCTATGTTGATCGGTCTTCAATCTGTATCTTCTCGGCTACGTTGGGAGAAGAGAAGCTAGAGTCGGAGACCGATCAGCATAACGTGTGAGGATGGCACGACTAGTTTGGGCCAACATTGGCGCCGCCGCAGCTGATGGGTGGGCGCGAGTGAGAACTACATATATTCCAACACTGTTTGAAACATCATAGCTCTTTTTAACGTAAAACTTGGTGATGAGATCTCGAACGATTATGACCAACATCCTTGCAAATTTGCCTCAGAGGATATCTATTAATTTCATGGCGCGTGACGCAAAATTTGGATAGAACATTGTAGAATGACATACCATAGGAGGCAGAGTGGCTGGTATAAGGCCCGTAGCCTCGTATCGATAGCTCTCTTTCTCGAATGCTGAGAACACTATTATATCGCCATTAACGAGCCTGTGGGGCTGTCGAGGATGGACCCGAATGCCGTTTACGAATGTACCTAGTGCCCAGTGAACTCGGCCCTCCTACCCCCCCTCTTCATGGACGCACCATTGACGCTATTCTGGTCTGTTATGGTAGCGAACTTCCTCGTTGACGAGGATGTACAGCTGTGAAACTCCAAGACCTGGAAGTCACATCTCCCTATCGCTATCGTACCTCCCTTACTGCTTGGTATCTAGAGATGCCCTTCGAATCTAGTACTATATCGTTATCAGGGTCCCTCCCTATGGTGACAGTGAGCTCCTCGAGTTCATAGAGGGTGTGACGACCTCTCAAGCGTCCATGTACAGGCATCTCATTTACTCCAAAATTGAGCACTTAACGTGAGCGCAACACTCCAAGAATGATCTCGAGTTGATATGGCGTTTGTCGAGTTGATACGTACAGTAGCAGGCAATAAATGGAGTCGGGAGCGATGCCCCAGAGATGAAGGAATACCATCATACCGCTCCTTCGCGGAATCGTAAATCGTCATGAACGACGGCCAGGGTATTATTTACACTGAAGAATCGTGTTCAATCACTCCTCAGCTGACCGCTTGGACTTTTTGCTCTTCTTATGCTTCTTCTTAGGAACCTCCTCTTCCTCCTCCTCAACAGCGGCTCTCTTACTCTTACGGATTTTGGTTACCTCCCGACGATGCTTCCTGCGGACCACAGTGAGAGACCGTATGCTACTCCCCGTACTACTTAGACTTCTTGTCGGCCTCCTTCTCCTCCTCATCCTTCTTAACCGCAGTCCGTTCTTGCCGCATAATACGCCTAAAGATGCCAATTCACATTACACGTTACAGTCCAACTCACCGGAGTTTTCCCTTTTGCATATCGGCACGTTTTATGGCCGTCGTCCGTGCCTCTCCTTCATCTTCAGAAGAGTCGTCAGAAGAGTCCTCACTTCCACTGCTCGTCGTTGCTACTGACTGAAAAAGTACAACGTCGAGCCGGACGACCGTAACGGCGTACTACGGCGAGTTTCTTAGCGATCGCGTTGTAGCTGTCTGCCCACCAGTTCTCCCATTCTGATGACTCTTTCTTCTCGAGCTCGCGTCCCAACTGAGATATCATCGCTTTGAAAAAATCATAGCTTCGTATTTCCCCCTACCCCTTCGTTTTCCTCCCGGCGTTTGACCTGGAGGCAGTCGGTCATGCCCTGACCTTCCGCGCCGAGGCCGTCGCCGGTCTTCCACCCGAATTTGCCTAGGATCTTGGCACCGAGGTTCGACTCGAATTTCTTCGAAGTGACTCCACTCGAAGTGACAAGACGTTCGTAGTACTTTCTCGACATTAACTATTCAACAAGTAGCCAACTGTGGTATGTTTCGTATGGTGGACTGGAAATTTCAACTCTTTCCCAGCGACACACACCGCTGAAGATACTCATGTTTTATTGAAAAGATATCGATTATAATGGCGTGCGCGTTTTTTCGAAACTGAATTATGCAGTGTGCCGACTGTATAAGAAAATCTCGTGGAGTGTCTGAGATATTTAACAAGCTGGAGTGGGAGCCAAAGCTAAACAGCTGAGGTGGTAGTCCAAATTGCTCGTAACGCTTTCGGTTGCGTATCGTGCGACTTCGGTCCGGTTCGTAAACACCTTGAGTTCCGAGTGAACCCGGTAGATGTGAGTCGTTGTTTCAGTTATTTCGATTCTCTCATTATCATCCAAT